AGTATAAGTAACCAATTAACTATAGAATAAGATTATTTATATTGAAAGAGATCTGTATATACTCTATAAATTTACTCGGCATTCCAAACATACAAGTAGTGATAGAACCTCTTAAATTATCAATAATTAATTATTAATAACTAGTCAAATTATTAACTAAGCTACTTATTAATGGCAATACAGTAAATCGCTTAGAACTATGCACTTAATTTATATATCAATTAGTGAATAGAATGATTTCTTCATTTGGAATTAGAAATCATTATATGTTGAACTAGTTTCTTTGATTAATGTTTCAGAGATTCAGGTCTGATTCCATTGTGCTGTTAATATAAATATGTAAGAATTAATATTAATTGAAATTATTATTATTCTTATTAACCAATTATTAATTTTCTTATTAACTAAAAACCTGAGGGTCCCATTACAAAACACAAGCTTTTGTATAATTGTTTCAATCATAATATATACGAACTTTGTATTTCAAATAATATATGCAAAGATAATATTATCAGTCAAAATTTTGAAGTGCTTATATCGATTGTTGCAGTGCCAATAAGAAGATAAGGTCATGTGTTGTGGTGTTGGTAGCAATCCCCTTATAAATCTAAAAACATGTCACGTGCTAATATACTTACCCTAAAGTCAGGTACGTGTAATTGGTACGTGTCCGTAGACTGTCCACCTAACTTAGGATAGATACGAAATCACATGAGCTGGTAGGTGTCCATAGACTTTCTCGGTTAAAAATCCATTTATTTTGCAGTATAATAATTAATTTTTTAAAAATACTATTTATGCATGTTTTACAATAATTGGGTATTAAAAATCACGTTGATAGACCAAAAATGTCATGGTAAATTCTTGATTTTGATTGGCTAAGAGCGGCAATCAAAAATTGAAGCCAAAAGCTACTTAAAATTTTACTAATGAAACTAGAGGTGGGAACCGGTTGTCATAATTCAACTTTAAAATCGGGTTAAATCGGGTTTAATAGTAAATCGGTTTGTAATATTATAATTCGGTTGAAATCCGCAATAAACCGGTTTGAAAATTAAAATTCGATTTCGAAATCATGCTAGAAATCAAAGTGGTGATATCAATATATTATGTTATAAAATCAGTAATCACTTGTTATTAAGTTGTTTGATTGGTTGATAATGTATAGTTATTGTATGCGTAGCAGACAATAACTCGAATTATTTGTAAAATAATTCATTAGAGTTATTGGCTAGCGTAGCATACAATAACGGTTTTATCCGGCATTTACTATGTGATCGATTTTGCATTTACATACTGTTAGTAGTAATTTAGCATTATAAATTTTAGTAATATTTGTTATTTACAATATAACTAAAATAAATTTAATATAAATTATACTAAATAAATTGACTAGTTGCGCAAAGAATTTTTGCTAGGGCGGAACTTTTTTAAAATTATTTTGGATACTGAAACGACTTTACTAAGGCGGGAATTTTTTTATAATTGTGTTGAATGCTGAAATGACTTTACAAAAGCAGGAATTTTTTAAAATTGTCCTGGATGCTGAAATAACTTTACAATGGCGGGAATTTTTTAAAATTGTCTTGGATGCTGAAACGACTTTACTAGGGCGGGAATTTTTTAAAATTATCTTGGAGGCTGAAACGACTTTACTAAGGCGGGAATTTTTTAAAATTGTCTTGAATGCTGAAACAACTTTACTAGGGCGGGAATTTTTTAAAATTGTCTTGGAGGCTGAAACGACTTTACTAGGGCGGGAATTTTTTAAAATTGTCTTGGAGGCTGAAACGACTTTACTAGGGCGGGATTTTTTTAAAATTGTCTTGAATGCTGAAACGACTTTACTAGGACCAGTTTTTTTTTTGTCTGTTATGTTTAGTTATGCGAAAAACTTTAGAATTTTTCAGCTAAGCAATTTTTTATTTTTTTTTTAGTTGCACGAAAAATTTTACAGGAACTTTAGGGCCAGAATTTTTTTTAAATTGCTGGTTAAGCAAAAACTTTTCAGAATAGCTAGCATTTTTGTCAATTACGCAAAGAACTTAAAAACTTTCTAAATAATCTTTTTTTGGTTGTGTAAAGAGCTTTTAGGTTGCTTTTTTTTTTTGATAGTGAGAGAACTTTTTAGATCGGAAATTTTTTTTTAATTGTCTGGATCATCATAAAAACTTTATAATTTACTTTTTTTATGTTAATAAAGTTTTTTGAAATTTAAAATAAGCAACAATACTTTAAATGTAATTTATTATTTTAATTACATTTTAACCTAATTATTAAATGTACAATTATTATAATATTTTTTAATAATTGTTACATTTTTATTACTATTCAATCGCTTGTTTTCTTGATTATTGGTAATGTTAAGAGGCCGTTTGCGGGAAACAATATTATCCTTATTTTTTAAAACCTCCCGCGCAGTATGAAAGTTTCCATGAAATTCCTGTTCATTAAAGTCCTAAATTTTTTATTTTAACAAACCCGATTTTAATTTTTGTTAAATTAAAAGAAAATTAATTAATTATTTTAAATAATATATATACCTGTATAGATTCTTCACTTAAATATTCCTCACTTTCAGACATATAAGTTGGTGAGCCTTCATTATCGTAGTTTGCTGAGCCTTCATCATTGCAATTTTGGGAGTCTTTATTATAATCAGAGATGGGGTCAGTATATTCAATTAATTCTTGTGTTTCTTGATTAGATGGCGTATGAGTAATTAGCTTATTAAGAACATTTGCTAATGCCTCTCTTTTATGTTGATTTGTAGGTTTGGCGTAAGCATAGTAACTACCAGAAGATTTGTGACCACTAATTGCACGACCTGTATTTTCTGGCACTCTGATACTAAATAATTCCATAATACTTGTTCTTCGACCTGAATAATTACAAATATCTCTTGTTTCAATATCTAATCCACAGTCGATGCATATTGTTTTAAATAGTGAACGAATTGCACGATCAGCCATTGGCTTGTCTAAGTACCATTTCCATTAACAATAGCTTTAATATTAGTATTAAGTTTTTTTTTTAAAAAACAATTATTAGCATTAGTTAGTTATAGTAAGAAAAAATAAACAGTAAATAAGTAGGAAATAAATTAATATTACCATTTGGGCTGCGGCAAACTGAGAGATAAAAGTTTAAACATTTGAAATGTTTAGATCGAAAAGAAAGATATTTTTTTATGTCAGCATTTGGTCCTGTAACACCTGGTGGATCGGATGGAAAAGGTATAATTAAATCAAATTGACTTCCATCTAATCCTCCTTGGTCATTTTTTTGTTGGTTTTTCTTTAACATAATACCATCTGGCGTATCTACAATTTGTGATACATGCAAGTTAACATGTTCACCGCCTCTAGTTGCACCTAGAATAGAAATCCAGAAAAAAATCCGTTTTAACAGTCCTAAAGGAGTATTAGGATCCAGAGCTTCATGATTTAAAATATGCTGAATTTCTTCTGTCGTTAATCCATCAGTAGATTTAGATTCACCAATCCCTTTCTTTTTCATATCTTTAAGTAATCCATCAAACTGTTCATATAAACTAGGAAACTCATTCCTATCATGTAGATTATAACGCCAACCGGGTTTTATATTTTGCAGATGCCTGTTAATTGCTGATAAGGCATTTTTTAATGATGCTCGTGAATAAGGTTTGCCTTTCTTAGTTGTCACGCCACATAAAAATTGTGAGACTTGTAGCTCGATCATTTCTTTACTTTGATTTTCTAAAGGTTCATTATAATTAACGTCTAACCGCCACTCATCCATAATTTTAATCCATCCTTCAGTATTTCTGACTGTATTTTCTGGGATACGTCCTTTAGCAAGTGCTGAAAGGTGGTCAGCGGAAGGTAAGAAATTATTGCATTTATCCATATTTGAATTTTTAAAAAGAGAACGTAACAAAAAAAAAAAAATTCAAATCGTATTTATAGTTTTTACAATTGATCACTGATATAATCAGTGATCTATTAAATTTTAACGAAAAAAAAACTTTTTAAATAAACAATATAAAACTCTATTAATGTAATAAATAGTATAATATTTTTAAATAACTTTTTTTGTTATAATAAATGGTGAACTTTAGTAAGTAACTTAATTTGCCGGATAAAACAGTTATGAGGCACAAGTGCCTCATAACTTCGGTACAATTCGCATTTTTACGAGTGTCTTGAGTCTCGAATGCTGGCAAGGCGCTATCGCGTCTTGCCAGCATTTGAGACTCAAGACACTCGTAAAAATGCGAATTGTACCTTACCGGTATTTGCGCATGTGATCTGCTTGTTCGAATTTTGCGCACCTTCGGTGCTTAAAATCGACCAATCAAATCACATTTTGCAAATACCTCAGTTATTCTGCACTTCGTGCCTCATAACTATTAAGTAACCGATCTCAGTATAAAAACCCGATTACAATTCGGTTTAAGCTCCACCCGATTTGAATTTAAATAGCAACCGGTTTTAAGTCACGTGAAATCAGTTCGGTTTTAAAATTTACAACCGGCTCCCACCTATAAATGAAACTGCAGCTGCCCATTAATTGACATTTTGCGGGAGCATAGCGGACTTTTTATGATTGGCTGATCTTTGAAGGATTAAAGCTGTCACAAGATTGAATTCCAAGCCATGATATGAATTTCGAGGGGGGTAAAAAAAAAAATTAGAAAGTTCAAGTCTTATTTCATAAAATGTCAAAGTAATTCGGTAATCAGCAAAGTAATTCTGAAGTTAGATGAATGGTATATTTGAACATTTAACTTATAGATTCAATAAATCAATTAAGTTTGGCAATTTAAGCTGTCTTTTACATATTTTGTGAAAACTTATTCTTCGTAATCCCAATTAATATAGAATCTTGACTATAATGTAGGTTAAGAATATGAAGTTGAGAGTAATAAGATTTATAGATTTCGTGAGAAGAGTTAAAGCGGTGTAGTGGTATATAAAATTAAATATCAGTTTGATGTTGGAGCGAACAAAAAATTGTTGTTGATTATTTTTTATTAGCCATTAGTGTTCTAGAATAGACTCAAAATTTATTTCATGTATTTTTGTTTTTGGTATGGTTTCGGATCGGTTTTTTTTTCTTTTTTGATTTGTAGTATATTAGGACTATTTATTCAATAAAATTTTGGTTTGTCTGCGACAAGAGATTTAAAGTTATCGAGATTTCATGACAAAGACTTTTTCTGGTATTAATTTCACTATAGATATAGAGATTTTTTAAATGTCAGTTTTTTTATTCGAACTTCTCTGTACAATTGGTTAGAGATAACCACCTCTATTAAAACTTAGGGTTAGGGTGTTGCTTTAAGATAAATAGAGGTTTTTATATAAAATAATTTTTTTAAATAACATAATATAGATTGGGTATCAGGTCCCGATCTTAGTTCTCGTGAGGTTTTCAGGGGTTCTGAACATTTTTACTTAACCTACTCGACCCCTGTTTCATAGTGCAGTTTTTGAGATATAGCGTACTGGTTATTCTTAGCCACTGGTACGAGTAAAAAATGTCCTTTTCGATTAACCAAATAAAATTTTTACTATATCACAGGATGATCTACAAAAATTGGCCAATCACAATGAAAGCCCGCTATGCTTGTGCGGGCCTATTTCTCTAACAATCTCCATTTTCGGAATGAAAAAGTTAATTCTGCTAAAAAGTATGTAAACAATTATGTAATGCGAGCCAAAATTTTATAGAACACGGCCGTTAACCAATCAAAACCGAAAATCTGCCGTAACAAAATTAGTATGGGCAGCTAGGTCTTTCCCCCCAATGCTGGCTGCGCAGCCTGCGCAGTGTTCTGTTCCTCGTCTTTGGTCGAGTATGCACCTACCTATCATTGGCAAATTGTATTGGTCCTTCCACTTAATGACGACGACTGAAAGACAAGACCACTTAATTAGGTTACTAATTTTTTTTTTATTTTTATAGAGTGAGGACTTGCCTCGGTCTTTATTGAATAATTATGCGTTAAATTGTTTAAATGGGTTACATGAATTATTGCAGGGACCTACAGCTAGGACTAATTTATCCTCAGCCCAAAACTCTACTAGAGTAGGCTATCTGGCCTCCACTGGTTTAGTTTAGCTATATAAGATGTAGATATGTTGGTCGTGGGAAAGATTCTTTCCCACTCCTTATATTTGGCTATACTGATGTGGTGTGTAGGAGGGTGATAGTCTTAGTTTACCAATTAGACAAACAATTACTTAATTAGACAAGCGAACCATACATGCAACTTTTTTTTAGGACCGTTGCCTCTTTTATTATTAGATAGATTATCGATTGGATGCCAGATTACCAGATTATCCGGTAACACATTAGACTTTAAATTACCTTTATGCATCATTGATCACGCCATTCAGATTCTAACCATGCCCATTCACTACAAATATCGGGTGTTGGTTACCACAATGACAGTAGGTATCATGTTACGTTTGATTGTTGACAATGTAAATTAAACTGTCATTGTTAAACTAGGTCCAGATTATTATAACTTTTTTGGGAGTGTTCCTAGTAGTGATGTGCCATTTATATGATACCTGAATTTTTTTAGCGTACAGTACATACAGTACTGGGGTATTTCATATACTAATTAATCAAACATATGCGAGGTATTATAGTAAAAATCAATAGTACAGATTTTATG